TGATTCGCACACACACTTGTACCTCGTCTTTGTTCCCTTGTGCATTCACTCCATCATTGAGTGCAGGAAGATGGGTATGTTTCGATTTCTTGAAGTTTATGCGGGTTTCGATTTTTGAGAAGGAAAAAAGACGCATAATGGTTTTTTCCCAACAAAAAAAATGGTTTTTTGAAATCGATGAACTCATCTTCATATCTTCATTCGATGCTGCATCTTTCGTTTTTCATATGTGGTGGTCAAATTGAGTGCAGTAACAAATGTGGCGGAAGTTCGGCCCGTGATTTAAAAGAAAGAGGTGAGGAAAGATAATATAAGTTTAGTCCGGTGTGTGTGGGCAACATGTCAAGACATGTTATCATACTCAAAATTTGCCAACTCATATTCCATGTCATCTTTAACACCATTTGATTTATGTAGGAAATGGTGTGCAAATGTTATAACATGTTGTAACATGTTAAGAGATACAAAGAGAGTTAGAGAGAGAGTGAGATAATGGCTTTTGATTGGTTGATTCTCAGGTTACTTCCCATGGCAATGATAACATTTCTTAACATAACACCAATTAACATGAGAGGGGGGCGGTGTTCCGGTGTTTGGCGCCGTTATGGGAGCTGCCAAATCAGCATAACTCCGTATGGAGTTGCCCATACCGGATGGTCTTATAGAGACAAAATAGGTAAGTATCCATAATTACAAGGAATAAATATTTATTTTAATCAATTAATATTATTAATTAAAATCTAAGATTACAAATATACCCCTAATTAGGTTTTTGAAAAGATTGGCTCACAATCATTCCTACATCCACACAATAATTAGTTAGAATACATGAACTTATCTCTCTCTCTCTCTCTCTCTCTCTCTCTCTCTCTATATATATATATATATATATATATATATATATATATATATATATAAAAGACTAGGGGAATGTTCACATATGAACAATTATGAAATCGAGAATGCGAGAACAAATTTGAGCCACATATTTCTTTTTTCCGCAAAACCCTCCAACGTCTCGACACGACATAGGAATGTAATATTAATATGTGAATATAAAGGTAAGTATATTCTCGTATATTGCAAATCTACCGCTTAAGCGATCCAACGTATCGGGACGTCGGAAAAGATAATATTCATATACGAATATATATATATATATATATATATATATATATATATATATATATAATCACTTGAGAATATGCATATATTTATTCATATATGAATATACATTATATATTCATATATGATTATACTTATGCACATATGAATATTACATTCCTCCATCACACAGGTACGCGGAGGCAAAAGAAAATATGTGGCCCAACGGTGGTTGCGTTAGTTGTATAAATATTAAGTTCCTCCGTCGCGCCGGTACCGGAGGGTTTTGCCGCAAAAAAAAAAATATATGTGCCCGAGATTTGTTCTCACATTCTCAGTTATATAATTGTTCTCATTTGAAGCTAAGTCTATAAAACTATCCATCAATAAATTAAATTACACTTTACCCGTGAGTTGTTATTTCACGATAATTCTTAAAAGAAACTATTGAAAAAAATTAAGATTGGTCTCGAAAATCATTTACCAATATCACACTAAGATTTAATGTGCAAACAAGAAAATTGCATAAGAGAAATAAAAGTGAAAATGGAGAACTGAGAAGACGAGTGTGCAAACAATCAGCAACAAAAAAGAAAATAATAACATATATAAGTGGAAGAAATAAAGATTGAAAAAAAAGGTTTTATTTAGGGCATTTTTGTCAAATTTTGTTTGTCCCGCCTTTTTTAGTGGGACTAAAATTATATCAATTAGTCCCATTTGACCAAGTCAATAACTTCTTTTGTTCTTGTTCTATTCATTCTTGTTCTATTCATGCCAAACACCCTTTGAAAATGTTTTGTTTTGTTTTGTCATGTTTTTGTCTACCCACTAAACGCTATCTCAGGAAGAGCTTTGAAAATAAATTCATGTGGCTATTAGTGAACATGGTCATAATAAACAAGTTTTTTTTGTGACAATTTATTAGCAAAATGCAACATTGAAAATAAATTCATGTGGCCATTCGGTGAAGATTGTAATGCTTCTCTTAATTGTGTGTCTCTAAAAGATAGTCAATAGTCACATTAATTTTTTTTTTTTGTGTGATAAATTATTAGGAAAATACAATAGTGAAAATAAACTCATGTGAACATTCGGTGAAAGACAGTCACTAAAATAACTAAGATGTGTCTAAAAATGGTTTAAGGCCACAATATTATATAAAATGATCAATTACAGCAACAAAAGTCCATATCAAATAGACACTTTTATGTTACAATCACAGTTTTTCATATGATACAACCATTAAAATTTAAAGTAGCCATATGTTGCTTAAAATGGCACGACTTTCGGTGTCACTTTGGATGAAAAAAGTGCCTAGGCATGTGGTAAATGTTTTGTAGTAACTGTTTTTTGGTGTGACCATTGCTCATTTTTGTATTAGTAGAACCTAAACAAGGGTTGTTGGATTATTTTTAGTTAATGTATAATTTTTAGTCAAATTTTGAACAACCATAACTTTTTCGTACGAGGTCAGAATTGTTTTTATTTTCTTGTAGCATGTAATTTTGTGTCTTAGCTACATGGCCTAAAACCCACTTCAAATGGTTAAGAATCACCTGAGTTACATAGACCTAAACATTGGTTGTAAGGGATTACAATAAAACCCACTTCAAATGGTTAAGAATCACCTGAGTTACATAGACCTAAACATTGGTTGTAAGGGTTGTTGTATTGTTTTTAATTAAATGATCGTCACAAAATGACCACAATAGGCGGTCTCGTTTAACGCATATATTTTTAACAAAATGACTACCTATTTTCCCAATAGAATAATTGCAAAATTACCTTTACCAACAAAAGACTACAAAAATCATAAAGAAAATTGCAAAATTACACCATATTTCTCAAAATATGAACAATTTCACAATATATTTTTAAATAACTTTTGTGATGGGGACCATTCATTAACCAATTCCGTAATTCTCAACATTGATGGTCATTTTGTGCTTTAAGTAAAAACAAATATGGTCAATTTGTTAATTGTCACACAAAATATGACACTTTATTCACATGTTTAATTGATTAAGTGTTTTAGAAGTCAAAATAGTTATTATGTATTTATTGTTTCTATTGTAAATTAAAACAATAAACATGTGATGGCCTCATCTTATATTATGTTTTAAGATGTTACGTGTTTTTATTGAACTTTTAGAATATTATTGATGAATAAGATCGTTAAAAATAAAGTTAAAGCAAACCTAAAATAGCAAAATAAAAAGCGAGAAATCAAAACCCAAAATCAATGGTTTGGAATTTCCAAAATAAAAAACCGAAAATTTCGATTTCATCTTTAGTTTTAGTTAAAAATCGAACTATTTTCACATTGATAGTTAACAAACTTTTTCATAATATGAAATTATTAAAAATAATCTACCTCTTCTAATAAACAAAACTCAATTATGTCACATGTCCTTATTTACAATGCTACATTGCCATGTGTCATACTTCTAAATAATTCTTATAATTCCCAAAACTTATATAAAAAATCTGGAAATATTAATTGTAATTAATTAATTAATTGTAATGCCAAAATAATCAATGTTTTAAAAACGGTTTGAACCGGCCGATCGAACCGGAAACCGAAGAAGTGAGCGGTTTAACTAGTACCAATTTTATGTCTATTTCTAAACCGAAATGAACCGGTCGTTTTTATAAAAATCTGGTTGAACCGGTTAAATTAAATAAAAACACATGGAAATGAATCATTTTCATAACAAACTTTGGTTTTTTCCAGTTCGGTTTAGATTTCTTTGAATAAAAATACATATTAAATATTACAAAGTTTTTTAATGTCTTTGTATTCATCTAAAACTATATTTTGTTGTATTATACTTTATTTGTTTTTTGATGTACATAGATTGATATAAAATTTACGGTTATGTATTTTAAACGTATTTGGATCGATCTTGAACTTGTATTTATGTATATTTTTAATGTTTAAACATGTGGATGTCTATGTATGTATAGAAAAATAGAAAAAAAATTAAAATTATAGAAACTAGTTGAACTGACGGTCGAACCGGGAACCGGTCACCATACCGGTTCAACTAAAAAACCAATTTTTAAAACATTGAAAATAATATTATAGCATGTATTTATTTTAATTATAAAACCAATAAAAAATGTCTTCTAACATTAATCGTACATTTTTTGAATCCTTAAATTTTGAAAATTAAAAATTTATCACCATTACAATCGAGAATCCGATGCATTTTTTGCAGCTATTAATTATTTTTGTCTATATAAATTTTTTAATTATACCGACCGTGGTTTCCACGAATTATAATCTAGTATATTTATATTTTAGTAAAAAATGATGTATTTTAAATGTTTTTTTTAGTATGAATGGTTCATTTGAGCATTCTAAAATTTGAAGTAATTTTTCTAAAAAAATAGCTGAAAGTATAAAGATTATTATTAAATTTTCAAAAAAGAAAAAGATAAAATCACAAAAACTTATATAAAACTTGAGGGTTTAAAAAACTATTGAATTCATAGTACAGTTTGTGTTATCTATAGAAAAATTGCTATAAATCATTCACAAAATTTATATTTTAGCTAAAGACCGAAAGTAATATCATTACTATTTTCATAAGTAGCCGTAATTTGTATCTGATTTCTCTAGTCCGTTTGATTTTTGGGATTTATATCACATGGCGCAAAAAAGCACGAGATCGGAAAAGATATAGATACTAATTTGGGTCGATGAGAATTGCATGTTGTATGCCCCACACAAGCAGACCATCAATTTGAGCCACCCACATAAAATCCTTCATGTTCACACTTGACAGTGGAGACTATATAAACCCTCATGGGGCAGTTCATATATGCATCAATACAAACCAAAAATCAGCAAGATTTTGATTTACATTATGAAACCTTGTGCTTTTATAATGTTCTCAATTCTCTTGCTACTCCTTGTGACTACAACTACCAGCCAATTAGTACCAGTGGGAGGAGATGATAGAAATGGTGTTAATATGAAAAAGTGTTTGGAAAAGGAGAGACATGCTCTCCTTCTTTTCAAAGCTCCCCTTCAAGACCCTGATGGTCGTCTCTCTTCATGGACAGCTGAGGAACATGACTGCTGTAAATGGAGTGGAGTCACATGCAGCAACCATACAGGTCATGTCACAGAGCTTGATGTTGGCTTATATGGTCTTGGAGGTGAGATAAGCCATTCATTACTTAACTTAACCTACTTGAATCATCTTAATCTTTCCTACAATTCTTTTAATGGAACCGTTCCCACTTTCATTGGTTCTTTGACTCGATTAAGGTACCTTTCCCTTTCCAGTAACTCTTTTTATGGAACTATTCCCAGGTCCATTGGTTCCTTGACTGAATTAAGGAACCTTGACCTTTCCAGCAATTCTTTTCATGGAACCATTCCTCCAGAGTTTGGAAACCTAACCAACTTGCAACAGCTTCATCTTTATTCTGTTGGAAGGTGTAGAGTTGAAAAGGTAGAGTGGTTGTCTCATCTCACTCATTTGGAGGAACTTTATATGGATGGGATTTCCCTAGCCAAAGCAAATAAATGGGTAGATGCAATTTCAAGTCTCCAGAAACTCTCATCTTTAAGTTTAGATGGATGTGAGCTGTCACAGGTCGTGTATCCATATTCTTCATTTCTCAACTCTTCTTCTTCATCTATTCATTACCTTGATCTTAGTTTCAACAATCTCACCTCATCCATGTATCGTTGGTTGTTCCCATTGACCAGCAATAAGCTTCACAAACTTTATCTCTCTTACAACATCTTAGATCGGATACCCAAATATCTTGGTAACCTCTGTAGTCTGGAAACTTTGGACTTCTCTAACAACGCTGCTGCTGTCGAATTTCCTGATTTTCTCAACAACTTGTCTGGATGCACATCCCTTTCATTACAAAATTTGTTCCTATATGATAGTAACTTAAATGGAAGTATAAGTGAGAAACTTTGGGAACTACCCAGCCTTGAATACCTTGACCTTTCATTTAATAATCCTACAGTTCCTTCCACATATCACTTGTCAGGTCTTTCTCATGTTAAGTATCTTGATCTGTGCTTTTGCAAGTTGCTAGGGCCTTACTTCCCCAAATGGATTCAGAAACTCAAAAATCTTATCCGTATTGATCTTTCTTATACTGGAATTTCAGACACAACTCCTCTGGAGTTTTGGGACACGTGGCCTTCTCAATTAAAATATCTGGATCTCTCTTTCAACAACATTAGTGGGAAAGTACCAGATTTATTGTCAAATTTTGCCAACTTTGCAATTATAGATTTGAGTTCCAACAACTTTCATGGTCCGATACCGAAGGTTCCTTCCTCTTTGTTATCATTAAATCTTTCCAGAAACAAATTCTCAGGGGGAATCTCATTTATATGCCAAATTGTTGATGGGCTCTTATACTTTCTTGACCTCTCTCATAACTCATTCATCGGACAACTCCCGGACTGTTTGTGGCATTTCAAAGAACTAAAAGTTCTTAATCTTGGACACAACAATCTCTTTGGAAGTCTTCCTCCCTCTCTTGGATCTTTGATACAACTCCAGGTGTTGTATGTATAAGATAACAACTTCTCCGGAGAATTGCCTTTGTCTTTAAACAATTGCACGACTTTAATCTCGTTGAATTTGGGGGAAAACAAGTTTTCTGGTAATGTGCCTGCCTGGATTGGGGAAAACCTCTTAGGTCTGTATGTTCTTATCCTAAGATCAAACAAGTTCTTTAGAACCATTCCTTTACAGTTATGTCAGTTAGCTAATCTTCAGATTTTAGACATGTCGATGAACAATCTCAATGGAACCATCCCCTCATGTTTGAGTAATCTTACAATGATGGTTCAACAAGGAGGATTCTCACAAGATTTACAGTATTATAGAAATTATACTGATAATTCATATGTATTGGAGACATATGTTGACCATGCAATGATTGAGTGGCAAGGAAATGAACGTGAATTCCTTAGCACTCTGAATTTGGTGAAGAGCATTGACCTGTCAAGCAACAATCTAACAGGACAAATCCCATATGAAATTACCAATCTTTATGACTTGATTGCCCTGAACTTGTCACGGAACGTTCTATCTGGAGAGATTCCACAGAAAATTGGTGAGATGAAAAAGCTTTTGACTTTGGATTTATCCAGAAATAATTTCTCAGGGCAGATACCATCAAGCATGTCTCATATTAGTTTACTGAATGACCTAGACGTGTCATTTAATAACTTGTCAGGGAGAATCCCAACGAACACTCAACTCCAGTCCTTTCCACCTTCAAGATACGTTGGAAACGCACGTCTATGTGGACCTCCCCTTACCAAAAGATGTCCCGGAGATGAAGAATCAAAATCACCACCCATCAATGGTAAAAGTGAGGGTGATGCGGAAGACACAGATGATGAACTCTTGAGATGGTTTTATATTGGTGCAAGTATGGGTTTTGTTACTGGAGTTTGGATATCATGTGGGGCTTTACTCCTGAACCGTCGTTGGAGACATGCATTTTTTCAGTTTGATGATAGATTTAGAGATTGGGTTTATGTGAAGGTGGTTGTGTTCGTTGCAAAGTTGCAAAGGGCTAGACATACATAGTTTGTTATCTAGTTGTTATTTTTAACTTTTTATTTATCGAAATATAATGTAATTTGACGGCGGTTTTTAAATCCCTATTATCAATAAACTGGCCACTAACACCATGGGTGGCCAATTTCCCCGTGTTGTATGAAATAAGACATCATGGATGAAATTTATAGATGAACAAAAAAACCGGTTTGGAAAAAAAAGTGGAAACCTAACAGACCTGTTTAGGAAAAAACCGTTTTATACAAAGCGATACAATTTGAAACGGAACCGTCGGTTTAGTATTGTTTTGAAATATTATAACAATAATTTTAAGCATTTGAAAAAAAAATAAACTATTTAATTATTAATTATTTATATATTTAAAGTTGAACATCCTATTTTGGCTTCTGCACAACACATGGCCAAATCGACGGGTTTTGGTCTTAGCATATACTTAAGAGGTACAGTTTGAAACCAGTTTGAAACCTGTACCTCTTAAGTCTTAACCATTAAACACCTCTGAAACTAGATCATCTATCTTGAAAAGATGAAGAGAAAATCACATTTTTGGTTCCTGCGTATAGCTTATTTTTTCAGTTTTGGTCGCAAAAGTTTGTCTCTTGCAATTTGGTTCATGTTTGAGGTTTTTGTAAAGCTATTGGTCCTTATTCTAAGTAAAATAAGTATATTTTTGGGGCCGAAAATGAAAAAGATAAGTTATTGATAAAGATCAAGAGCCCTTCATTGAACAACCCAACAAGCTTAGGATATGGAAAGTGTTGGTGATTCTATTGTTATCAACATATTTTAGTGTACTTATTATTAATATTGAGATAGGCTAAGTTTTATTTACTTATCATGACTCGAGGTGCAGGGTGCACACTCAGAGTGATAAATGTGAATTCAGGAATTCGGGGGCCCGGGGGCTGTGCCCTTGGGCTCGGGATTCCAAAGGGCAGCATCCCTAGCGGGGTCTAGAGGCAGGGCCCCTAGTAGGGTCCAAGGGGCAGAGCCACTGATGGTGGTTCTAAAGGGCAGCGCCCTTGGGCTTGAGATTCCAAGTGGCAGCTCCCTGAAATCTGAATGGATTTTTATTTCAGGTGTGACTCCAGCCATGCAATTTCCCGTCAAGTATGGGTTTTGACATCATGATGATGTAATATTCGGTTATGTCTAGATAACCATATTTTTAATCAACATTTTCACCCCAAAATGCATGTAACCACCATAAACCGACTTCCAACCGTTTTCTTCCATCTATATAAGGATGATAAGTGTTCTAAAATCGGGTTGGTCATATATGTACATGGAATTGATCATATGTTATAATTTATCTCATCAAACACAAAACAACAAGGTACTTTTTGTGTTATAAATTTAGAAGTGGCCTTACTTTTAAATTGTCATTCTTGGATTATCCCAAATCTGATTTCGTGATACCCCATGCTATAGGGTCAAAATCACATATTTTGGAAAGTGATTGCAATCACGATCCTAGAAATTATTCAAGTATATTGATATTCTCATGACCCCAAAATCTAACATTCAAAATCTATGATTTTGTGAAGAATATCAATGGCAGAATCTATCAGGGACATGAGTTCTAAATTCATAAAATTGGAAAAGTTTAAGGGCAATGATTTTTGTCATTTTCAAAAGAAGATGCGTTTCCTTCTGACCACTATGAAGGTTGTTCATGTTTTAAGCACTCCTGCACCAGAACCAAGAGATGATGAAACCCTTGAATATACCAAAAGAAGATGCAAGTGGGAAAATGATGATTACATATGTCGTAGGTACATTATGAATGGTATGTATGACTCTCTCTTTGATCTCTATCAAACTCATGAATCTGCAAAGGATGTGTGGGATGCACCTGAATCCAAATACATGATAAATGATGCTTATAGTAAGAAGTTCCTTGTGAGTAATTTCAATAATTACAAAATGGTGGATTTAAGTTATGAAACAATATAATGAACTCATGAGGATTTTGGGACAATTTGAATAGCACAAGATGCAAATGGATGAATCTATTTTTGTCTCAAGTGTGATTGACAAATTGGCCCATCCTGGAAAGACTTTAAGCACACTTTCAAACACCAAAAGGAAGAGTTTTCTCTGGTATAACTTGGTAGTCACTTGAGAATTAAAGAGGGTCTTCGGGCTCAAGAAAGTGGCAAAGGAAAGGAGAAAGAAGTTCATGGATCTTCTGTGGACATGGTAAAAGATGACAAACATCAGAAAAATAACAAAGGAAAACGGAAGAAGAAAGATGACCATCACAAAGTTTCAAACAAGAAAGCAAAACTTGTGTGTTGGAATTGCAACACACCTGGTCACATGAAACGGGATTCTCGTTTGAAAAAGAACAAGAATGGTGCAAGCACTTCTGGACAAGGATCTAATAATCAAGGTCTAAAATCACAAGGTTGGAATTTTATTTCTAAAATACTACTGCTATTATATATCATGTAACACTTATTCCCGAATCATTTTATTTTCAAGATGATGATTATGCATGGTGGATAGACTCGGGGGCGACGAGAAATGTGTGTAAAGATCGCTCTTGGTTCAAAGATTATGAAGTAGTAAATGATGGATCGATGATGTACATGGGAGACCATAATAAAGCACTTGTTGTTGGTCGTCGATGTGTGTGTTTGGTCGTCGATGTGTGTCTTTATACTTTAGTTCTGGAAAAAGACTTTTTCTTAAGAATGTTGTTCATGTTCATAAGATTAGGAAGAACTTGGTTTCTGGTGGTGTAATAAACAAGTGTGGTTATAAGTGAGTCTATGAATCTGATAAGTACGTATTATCTACGTGTGATACATTTGTTGGGTTTGGATATTATTGTAACGATATGTTTAGATTGAATGTAAATGAAAAAGATGTAGATTCTATATATATGTCTTGTTCTAGTATTGATGATTCTTCTTTATGACATGTTTGTTTAGGACATGTACATTATAAAAGAGTGCTTGAAATGTCTAAAATGAATTAATACCATATTTTGATGTTAACATAGGAAAATGTAAAACTTGCATGTTAACACTAAGATTACTAGATAATCTTTTCCTAATGTTAATAAGAATTCTATTATGCTTGAATTAATTCATAGTGATCTATGTGATTTGTACTCAACTCCATCCTTAGCAAATAAGAGATACATAGTACGTTTATTGATGATTATTCTCGTTTTTCTATGTATAATTGTTACATTCCAAGCATGAAGCCTTTAATAAATTCAAATTTTATAAAAATGAAATTGAATTGCAACAAAATGATTTAATCAAAATGCTTCACACTAATCGAGGGAGTGGGTATTATGATCCTAGTTATTTCCACTCTGTTAGAATTATACATGAAATAATCACTCCATATACTCCTCAACAAAAATGGGATTTTCCGAAAGGAAAAATAGATTTCTTAAAGAAATGGTAAGCTCTATGTTGTCATACTCAGGTTTGAGTGATGGATTTTGGGGAGAAGCTATGCTCACTGTTTGTTATCTTCCAAATAGAGTTCCAAACAAACGGAACAAAATAACTTCCTACGAACTTTGATACAAAAGGAAACCAAACTTAGGATATCTTAAAACTCGGGGTTGTCGGGCTGTTGTAAGGCCGACTGAACCAAAGATGAAGACTTTGGGTGAAAGAGGTATATTGATTGTATCTTTATTGAATATGCTAAGCAATCCAAGACTTATAGGTTTTATGTTATAGAACCTAATGCTTCCATTTCAGTTAACACTGTTATAGAATCAAGAGATGCAATATTTGATGAAAATCGATTTTCATCCATACCTAGACCAAAGGACATTGTTCCTAGTTCTAGTGGAACCACCAAGGAATTTGTACCTGATTCAAATGAATCACCTGATATTATAAAAGTAAAAGAAAAAGAAAAGCTAAAACAAAGCTCATGTTGAGAATGAAAGTTCCTACAAGGTGAAAACACTTCGGAATGACAGGGGTGGTGAGTTCACGTCACAGAAG